TGATTCTTTAAGGGGGGGGAGCTACACTTGGAGGCTATCTCGCTTATTACTGGACCGAATTTTACCAAATTTCACACATATAACAAGCATAGTAAGGAATCTTAAAATCAGCAATCAAATTTGAGAAAAAAGTTCCGTTTCCATCTATACGCCGCCATATTGGATTTTATTGACATGTCTTACGTAATGAATACCGCACTTATTGCTCATGGAAATTGATTGGTTTTTTTGCATGCGTGTTCACAAACATTAGATCTAAAAATTTGTCTATTGTTTTTTTCCTAATCGAATTAGAACATTTTTAATGAATTTTTTCCTGAGGTAGCATTCAAGTTTGCAAAAAATCCGTGAAAATCCACACTCCAGACACCACCAACAAAAATCTATTCCATATATCAAAAATTCAACAGATATATTTTTTGTATTACCTCTTCTCTTCATTCTGTGAAAGTTTCATGAAGATTGGATGAAAAATGATGGAGTTATTCAAAAAAATATAGAGAAAAGTCGCATTTTGAGAAAACGGCCGATAAAGAAAAATAAAATATTGACTTTATGAGGAAATGGCGGTTACAAACATCCCCGGTATAGGAAAAAATACGGTTTTGGGGGGTTCTTATGCCATGGAATAGTTGTAGGAGAGGCTGAGAAAGCTAAAAATGCCTACAACTCAAATTCCTTGATTTTGAGCTGAATTTTGATTTTGGGGGTGTAGCCCCCCCCCCCCCCCCCCCTTAATTGTTGTGTGAATTAAAAATAGATTTATTGTCCGTTCAATGTGTATTACGTAACATTACTTTGAGCGATTTAAAGGACAAAAACAAAACAAACCAATTATTTCTTACAAGTGATACTTTGGGTAGTTTATAGCGCCTTCTTGCACAACAAACTGTAGTAATAGAGGGCCATAACTGCCATGTTAACCACATCAAGTTTGCACTCAATGATTATCAATTTACTGTACCTACTGCGGCCAATAGTCGTTAGTGCTACAACAAGTTTGAATCCTGACAGACGTTTGATGAAAAAAATAACAACTAAAAATCACCTCGTCCTAACAGATTTCAAAAATGAGGGCAACATCGTAATTAATTTCATAACAAAATCAGCTGACTTTTCTTTAAAAACAATACTCAAATTCTCAGTATCACGAAAATAAAGTGTTCTGTTTAGATCAATCATAGTGTGCGATAATACCAAAGCAAGTATAGGCCTACGTTACTTATAGAGAGCGTATAGCAAGCATTACTTTCTGATTCCTCGTTGGATTGCACTGAAACCGATTTGTAAAACTTGAATGTGTGTAATAACATTCGTCAACACGTTATTGTCATTTCACAGAGACTCGATGATTAGCACAAAGTATTATAGTTATTAGGGGGCTTTTTCTCATTGTAGAAGTCCTAATTATAAAGGCTTCGTCAAGCCACTAAAAAGATCGCACTGGTCAGTAAATGAAAAGAGCTCAGTGTTCTGGAAACAGAAGAATCCTACGAATATCCATAGGTCCTCACAGACACAAGCACGTGCGCGATAATAGCAATGTGGTCAGGAAAAGACAGAGCGCTCACTCACTACCCAATTCCAGGTTCTGCCTTGCCGCCTGGCGTGCGAGACGCGCGTGCTGGGGGAGGGGGCAGCTCACGCACCAGGTGGGCAGGTAAGGCTGCGAGAAAGTGGGTGGGAGAGGAAGGAAATTTCTTTTGTCTAGCGTTTTGACTAACAATATAGGTTCTACGTTTTACATTTATGACTTTAAGATTCATTTTTCCTTATTTTCTTTTCCTTTATGGAGGTAGATTCTTTTAATTTTCTATTTTTTTAAAATATACTTTTTTTAGGGGGGGGGGGGTAATGAACTTACGACTCTCTCAGTCTGATTTTAGAGACTGCCTAGTTCGAAAATCTATGGTTCTCATCTTGAGCACAAACGGAGAAATTCAATCGTAAACAATGATAGATGGCTGTTACGTTTTTATAAGCGACACTCAATTAATTGTAGCGTGACAAAAAAAAACAACCAACAAACCACAACTTACCTTACAATATTAGGCGTAGGCCTATTGTATTCACGGGCTTAAATCTTTTGTTTTGATAGACCCTCACATTATAGATTTAATATACATAATATGATACAGTTTATATATACTTTTTATAAAGCATAATATATCATCATATTTAGGCTAGATTGATAATTAAAACAAATAACAATAGCTGCAGCAGCAGCAACAACAACGACAACAACAACAACAACAGGGCTGCAGCGATTTTCACCAAAAGCTACTCCCATCATTCTTTTTGGAAAACCTCTTGTAACAATGATTGCATTGACGACGTCCACCAACAACTCTAGAATGCATAGATCTCATTTGTAAAATTAAAAGTCATTTGAAATTCAAAGATTATTTAATTGAAGTCTTAATAAAAAATATACAATAGAAATGTTAAGAGATAAAACAAACTTGTAATGCAATTCAACGATAATAAAAAAACACCTTTCAAACAAAATATCTGCGAAAAATAACATTAATAGAATTAAATAAATTTATCACAAAATAATGAAGTGTTGGGAAGAGTTGAGATTCATCAACATGACCAAGAAAAGAAGAAGATGGAGATATTTAGGGGGGGGGGGGGTAGGGGGGTAGGGGAGGGGGTTACACCCCCAAGTCCCGATTCGGCTCAAATTAACTAGCTTCCTCAACCTCTAATTTAACTATTCCATTGCATAAGAACCCCCCAAATCCTTATTTCTTCGCTTACCGGGCATGTTTGTCACCACCATTTCCTCATAAAGTCAATATTCTATTTTTGTTTATCAGCCGTTTTCTCAAAACGCGATTTTTCTCTATACTTTTTAAAATAATTCCACCATTTTTCATCCAATCTTCATGAAATTTTCATAGCATGAAGAGAAGGTGTAATACTAAACATTTGTTCGTTGAATTTCTTGTATTATTATATTTAATAGATTTTTGTTGTTTATGTCTGGAGTGTGGATTTTCCCCGGATTTTTTGCAAACTTGAATACTACTTCAGGAAAAAATTCATTAACAATTTTCTAATTCGTCTAAGAAAAAATCAACAATTTTTTTTTAACCTACTGTTTGTTAACACGCATGCAAAAAAAACAACAACAAACAATCTTTTTCCATGAATGATAAGTGCGGTATTCATTACGTAAGACATGTCAACAAAATCCAATATGGCCGCCGTATTCATATCCATGGAAACGAAACTTTTTTTTCAAAATCTAATTTTGGATTTGAAGACTCCTTACTATGCTTGTTATAAGTGTGAAATATGATAAAATTTGGTCGACTAATAAGCGAGATAGCCTTCAGGTGTAGCCCCCCCCCCCCCCCCCCTTCCCCGGGCCCCTAAGAATTGTTTTAAGAAAGCCAGAAAGCCTACGCCAGCTTGACAGTTATCCTACAATTTAGTGTGGTGTCAACTGCTCTGACGATACAGAGAGCATTGGTATATATTTTTTTTATAGTAGAGGGTTTTACGGCGCTCGAAACTGCATAAGGTCATATGAGCGCCAAGGGGTGGGTGTCAACAGAGAAGTCTTTACAGGGAATCAGACTTAGACTGCTCACCTTTCTAGCTTCAACAGCACAAGGTCTGCTTCGACTATCAAGGCACCCCAAAATAGCAGGTAACAATAAGAGAGTGACAAACATACCAAAGAAGTAGAGGTAAATGACAATAGTAAGGATCAGGAAAGAAAAAGCAGCAGTTACCTGTTGTAGATCAGGCACAGTTATGAGCGTGACATGAGTCAGCCCATTTACAATATTCTACTATGCTTGAACGAGAAATGTCCCCCCTTTGGAAATGGCCTAAAGACACTCCAGTCAGTGGCACTGCCCCTGGGGGTGAGCATTGGTATGTATACACACACACACATATATATATATATATATATATATATATATATATATATATATATATATATATATATATATATATATATAGAGAGAGAGAGAGAGAGAGAGAGAGAGAGAGAGAGAGAGAGAGAGAGAGAGAGAGAGAGAGGGAGAGACTATACATGTATATTTATTTATAAGCGCCTATAATAATATGTGTGTGTTTGTATGAGTGTTTGTGTGGTGTGCGCCCTCGAGGGCACAAGGTGTTTGTGTATGTGTGTGTGTGTGTGTGTGTGTGTGTGTGTGTGTGTGTGTGTGTGTGTGTGTGTGTGTGTGTGTGTGTGTGTGTGTGTGTGAGGGCTTGCGTGTGTGTGTGTGTGTGTGATGTTTGCATTATACGGCCGATGTATGTGAAGACATGATGCTCTCTACTGCAAGCTTATTGAATAATACAAGTTAAATGAGAGAGAGAAAGAGAGAGAGAGAGAGAGAGAGAGAGAGAGAGAGAGAGAGAGAGAGAGAGAGAGGGAGGGAGAGAGAGAGAAAACGTTATAGGCAGAGTGTTATACTGACACGAACAGAGTCACTTCAGTCGTGACCTCAACACGCGGTTGCCATGAATATCTATACTATTAAAATTGGCAGGTTATATCGTAAGTCATACTAACAGCATCATATTATGAACGGACGGATCACGTTCTCGGAAGGAAAATGTGGGGAGCTGAAACCATCAAGATTGGCCCACACATTCACATATTATACAACAAAGAAACGGAAAATAAACACGATCTGCGTTTCTTCTGATCAACAAGAGACCTGAGGACAGCTGATTTCATTGACCCTTGACCTGTGACCTTTGTGTCAAGGCCGTGCGATATGTCGACAACACGAACCACAATGTAAACAGAAAATTTTGCAGTACTGTTACGTTACTTGGCTTTATCTCTGTGTCACAGCAAGCGGCGATGTCGACCACGCAATAGACAGACAGCAGCCTTGCCAAACAGCTATAGATCTATGTGTGACTCAGTTGCTGTCGTGGAGGTGAGTGTGTTGTTTATTTAATTTGCCTCCTTGATTCTCGACTGTGAATAGCATGACATAGCAGGAGTCAGAATGGACTTCGACTGATTCTGAGACTGTTCAGTATAGATCTATATCTAGATCTAGGAGTAGGCGAGGAGTCTGTATGTGGCTGTACCGTACCGCTAGACTCCAAGTCAGTAATGGAATCTAAACCGTGACTTGGTCAGTTATTTTAGGCCTACTGCCTGTGATAAGTGTCAGGCTCTATGCCTTTCAAAGTGAAGCCAAAGGCGGCTCGAATCGGTCTGAATATATAACTTCTAATGGGCCATCCTTTGCGCACATCTGGCCTACCGGTTCGTTGTCTATTATTCAAGCACGGGTTTTGCGGAAGGAGTTCGAAGGTAGGCCCAAAAAGTGCTGAGGGAGAATGAGGGTTAATTTCATTTTTTAAAAGAGATGTGGGTAATTGTGCATTACCAAAGATTCGTGTTATTTTAGTGTTAGTCGTGTTTTCGGAAGGCCCATAATTAATGGCCTTCAAGATTTAGTGTGTGACATTAATTTGAGACAGACAAATAATTCCTTTGGTAACATGTATACTCTATATTATTAGGTAGTCATTTATAAAGTGGAAATAGGGATGGAAAGATCTGACGTGTACAGGGGCGAGCCTAGGTAGGAGATGAGTGAGTGTGTTGTTTGTGTATGCATGCGTGCA